CAAGGAAATCGAGCAGAAGGTTCACTGAAGCGTGAGCTTTAGCTGAGAAGAGAATAAAATCTTGACTCGTCAGCACCTAACTACTTCCGTACGGGGTCTCTCTCTCATCCTGAGAAGTTAAAACAAACCTGAAGGTAATAGAGGGCCTTGAAGTTACGACTGCGCGATGATCAAGCAGAAGTTCGAATCGATCGTAGCGGTTCGCACATCAACACGCCATCGCTAGTTCCACGCATATGAGATACTGGACAATTCCAGTTCCCCTTCGACTCCGAATCATTGGAGCAAGACGGCATCTTCTCGCTTGTCGGCTCATTGATCACGGGCGTGACCACAGGGTACTGGATATCCTCAGGAATCCTGACTCTGTACACACATCGCGGCAGGGCTCGTGGTGGTTGCATTGAGAGCGGTTCTCATGACGGCCATGTCTTCCGGAGGGCGGCTTTCGAAGATCCAATTCAACAGCGGGGCCGAGTAGGGTGGATATATGCTCAGTCTGAGACGGAATGTTCTCAGTTTCTCCAGCCTTTGCGATCTTCTCACGGGCAAGATGTGGCCGAAACGTCAGTTACGCCACAGGAATTGTCTCAGTAACGCGAGACGGGAGTAATACAACCGGCGTAGCAACCGTGAGCAGTTCCTCCTCGCACAAGTTATCCCAGAGCCTGTAGCACTCCCAATCCTCCTCCAAGAGACTAGTTCCAGCATCTTGATGAGCTCCCTTGCTTGCTGGGGTGTCTTTGACGCTTCTTTCGGGAATGGCAATCTGAACCGGTTCATATTCTGGAGAATATGTGTTGATTCCTTTCTTGGTGGCTAGTTGTGGCACTTGAAGGTGACGTCCGGTGTCATGTTAATCGGCATGGGATATTCCTCCCAGAGTCTTGGAGAGTTGTTGTGCCTTGCTCTGTTCCCATTTGGAAAGGGAACGATGTTCTTTTGTCATCTCAGCGGGGGGAGGAAGTGAGAAGAGGATAAAATCCTAATTCGTCAGCACCTCTCTCTCTCATCAGCAATACAGAGAAATTAGAACTAACCTGAAGGTAATAGAGGGCCTTGTAGTTACGACTGCTCGTTAAGATAACGATGCAGAAGGTCGAATCGATACGATTTGCGAGCTTTGATGGGCACTGTAACTTCGCTGTCGCTTGCAGCTGTAGTTGCAGGGTGTCCATTTTGGGCTCAAAGGATAACGATAAGAGAAAATAGAAGATAAGTTTTCGAAGACGATATTCGTAAACGAAAATGCTCAGGTCGTGGAAAGTTGACAGGCCGAGCGAAACAGTGTGTTGGGGTAGCGAGAAAGAGAAGAACAGAATGAAGAGGATGTTCGTGAACGAAAAGCAGCGTGAAAACTCTGTACGGTAGACGCAAGAAGGTGTCAGAGCAGCCTGTGACCGTGATGGCAATGTTGTTGATGCTTTCTTTCAGCTGAGAGTACCATGTGGTATCTGTAATCGTAAAACGGTTCATGTAATGGTGATGCACTGATGCTATTCCGCAGTCCCCGTCAGTAACACAGTAACAGTGACATTGCCAGCAGTCGTGTTAGGGTAGAAGGACAAAACTTACGCATTGCAAAGTGTCGCAGAATCGATTCTGTATCATTGTCGATTCATAGCTTTGATGAGCTTCAGGATGCCAGGTAGCATGAGTAACGGAGTTGATATCGAGGGCACCCAGTGGTGTTGTGTCGATGAGAGAGAAGTGTACAGAAAAAGAAGGTGAAAGTGGCAAAGGTCTAAGGGTCCTTATCCAACCGACCAAAACCGCCCTAAGGAAAATTTCGAATTCCAGCGGTGCGCATGGCTATTCATATGCGATCACTCACTCGGGGTCGTCACTATGACCCCCACTGTGGCGACAACGGGTGACGAGTTGATTACCATGGAATAAAATCCGCTAACTTCAGATGTTATTTATTACTACGGAAATCTGCATGTCATTGCGAAGTATTGTTTGCTGTCATCGCCTTTGCATAAACTTTGCTTGGAATACCTATGTACTTATGAGTAAATCACCCGCGGCAATGAGCCCGCGTCACGCCGTGCCCAGACATTGTAATACTATTTTTCATCTCTCGTATTGCCTCTACGGCATAGATTTACCGATTAGCCTTATCTGTCACACATGAATTCATGTGCTTGTGTTGTGCCAATATGCACTTTCCTGAACCTGACTATAACAGTCAGGTTTTCCGTTTGCTCCCGCCAAATGGGTTCTTGAGGCAAAAGTTGCCTAAAGTAGATTAAATTAGCGTACGCCGTACCGGGGACAGGTGTGAACACTGATTTGAGATAACAGCATCTCGAAGAGCGCGATCTCATCGGAAAGACAGCATCTTGAAGACAGATTTAGTTGGAAAGACAGCATATCGAAGAGAGATATCTTGTCGCGTTATGAAAGGGCCAAAGGGGGTCAAAGTCAAACTTCAACCCACGAGACGCGCTGTATGTACGATAAAAACCATATCATGTGAACTTACATGTTTCTTCACCTGTCCACTTTCATGTTGCGAGCATCCATGTATCACTCGATCAAGAAACATGTAGATTTACATTATTAAATCATGTAAAAAAGCCAATCATATAATTTACACTATTAAATCGTCTAAAATACACTATTTTTGCGTGATAGGGATAATAAATGATGGTGCGTTTGGAGGCCCCGCAAAACAAAAGTTCACTATTGAGAAACCGCACTATTCGTGGCAATATTGCGATAAAATGGTATTCAATATTGCAATATTGCCAATGGCGCACTATTCGGCCTCAATAGTGCACTATTAGGCGACCTCCAAACGAGCCCTAAATGATTTAATCAAAAATCAAAAATCGATATGCACTTGGTAGTCGTCTTTATTGGTCAGGGTCCAACTTGAACCACATCAATCACAAACCATCACCCTTCATATCGAGCGCCACACTGGGACGTTGTTACTTGTTTAACCGGAATATCATGGTATTTAAACCCTCTTCTTCATATCGATACACAACCTGACCGAAACTTTTCGCTCATCAACAACCATCATCACCATCACCATCATCATCTTGTCACAACCCCATTCCAGCTTGTCTCATCATCACACACCCCCTCACTCGCCATGCCACCCGTACTCCGCAAGCGCCAAGCGCCCGCCCCTCCACCACCACCACCACCACCGCCCAAGCGCCAGCGCACCACGCGTACCCCACCCGGCACCCGGGTCTTCCGCCACGGCCGTTCACGGCCAGATGTCTCCATCTACATCTTCGGTGACCACTACCATCTCCACGGGGTAGTTCTTCGGGACAAGTTAGGCTGGTTCAAAACCGGGATGTCGAAGAAAGTTTGGGATGCAACAAAATCCCATCCAGGACAAATCAAATACAGATATATGCTGCAATGTGATAGGTTTTGGATTGGGGATCCTGATGATAGTCTGGAGTTGGAGCAGGATTATGATACTGAGCATAGATTGGAACCTTATGGACCATTAGATGTAGGTCATAGCTGATGTGTACTCGGTGCGACGGTGCGTTGTACTATTGGATCTGAGACTGATTCAGGTGTGGGAATATGCAGAGACCGGAGAGGCCAAATCCCGCTCACTTTAAACATCAATCGCAAATTCGCAAGGTTTATAAGTCCATATTTGAAAGTTGCTATTACGATTTTACCGTTCCGGAATATGCAATGTCGATGAGACATTTTGAGAAATACCTGCAAAGGTTTGAAGAAATGTTCGAAACTGCGAAACAGTATGAATATACACCCCCGATCATTATGGGAATCAACGGCTTTCTCCAACACTGGATTGGATGCTGTACGGAATCCGTCAGGTTCAACGGATTTGTTGAAGACAATTGTATACGCTTCCTACAACTTGCAATCAATTTTCAATACAGAGAACTTTACAAGGATGCGTGGATTTATACTGTTGGACAGTATTCTAAACACGAGAGACAGATTGAAAGGTTTGAGATGAAAATACGTCTAAGTATTTGGAAAGAAGTTGCAAGATTGGAAAGGATTCGTAAATGGGTTCAAAGGGCTTTTTTTGCTATTGTTGAACAGGAGAACGATGACTCGAAACCAACAATTGATAACGTTTGTGATGAGGAAATGTTAAGGGATTATGAACCGGACTTACTCGAGATTCCTAGGTGCGCCGAGCATGAGGCATACTTAATTATGAGAGTTCATGTCTTGTCACTATTTTCGGCGGGAGAATTGGATGAGGATGAAGATTATCGGTACGAAGAAAGGCCGGACGTCGAAATAGAGGATGAAGAAGAAACTAGGGATTCAGAAACCCGGGACTCAGAAACCGCAGACTCAGAAACAGCAGGCTTAGAAACAGTAGACTCAGAAACAGAAGACTCAGAAACAGCAGACTCAGAAACATTAGCCTCAGAAACATCAGACGAAGACCCCTATCGGCATTTACAAGACCAATCACCGGATTTTGTGGACAAGGGGAAATTCCTGCTGCGGAATATTAATCTATTGCTTCAGAATAACTTAAAGTTAATGAAGTACGAAGAAGAGCCATGGAAACAAGGATTAGTTTGTGCAAACTTTGAACGCGCAAATGATGAACCAAGGTATCCTTGGGAAGAGACAGAGGAAATTGCAATCGATAGTGATTGAGAGGAGTTGATCGAGGGTGGGGTGGGTGTTGGAATTGAGCGGGGAGGAGGGAGGGAAGGGTTCAAGGATAATTATCAATCCATTGTCGGATTTGATATGCAGATGTCTAGATGGTCTTTGGAAGAATGCTTTCGGATATCATGATCTGTTTTACTTATGCCGATTCAACCGACAAAGTATTTACGAACGAGAAGAAGGTTGATAGGGATGACTACGAATATAAAGGCAGAAAAATGTAAGAAGTACTCTAGTTCAGCGTGCCCTGAGCTAGGGACGTAATAAAATGATGAAATCCAAAAGAAACCATGACGTATGCCTATGTTTCAAGCATCACAATATACAATCATCAGACTCTTCCATCAATATCCGATATGGTGTAGTGGTTAGCATTGGTCGCTTTCATTTCCAGCCGTCAAAAGCTCCAAATCAAGCGCCGACTAGACCCGGGTTCAATTCCCGGTATCGGAACCATTCTTTTGCTCGCGCTTTCATTTTTTAGCGCATGGGTTTCGGTTCTTATCGCTGGGTGTTGTGCGACGAGGCGGTGGTGATTAGAACTAGGCTCAACTACCTGGGACGGGGGGGTTGAAGTTGGATTGATACGCTCACAGCTCCGGACTTGGAGAGAACTGCTGGAGAGTAGAGGGGCGTCATAGGGGAAGACGGTTAGAGAGTGTTAAGGTCTACCGCCTTCCGGCAGGCTAAATCATGAGGGAAAATGAAGTTTTGCTAATCATTATCAGGAGTTACTCGTCAAGTAAACTTTAGAATCATCTTCCACGGCCAGACATGACAGATTCGGGTGAGGGTGATTATAACTAGATAAATTCAAATATGTATAATCATCCCGATAAAATATACCCTAATTCCCTGAGCTATAGCTTGCCAGGATCTTTTCCTTACATTTATCCCTACTCCCATCGTCTTGCAAATCGAAACATATCAAGGATACCAGGTCCAAGCCCTCGAAAAAAATAATATAAAAGAGAAGACATAACAATCTATAAACAAGAAACTAGAAAAACAGATAACATAAAATGTCATGAACTTCATAAACTCTAAACATAGTGCACAAACATCTTCCAACGCCGCGCCAAGCCACTTCCATACCCATGGCCAAAATAAAAAAAGAAATCACCATAATGAAAATCCAAAAACTCGAAAATCCTAAACTGTACCAACTCCGCAAAACCCTTCTTTATGAAATTCGTGAAAGTTATATATCATTCGTTATACATTCGTTATATCGTAATAATGAACAGAGAAAGCTCGTATATATTGAGCGTCCAGGAAAAAGTTGAAGTTGTCCAGGATAACTGCCCTTTTTTTTTGGTGTAAAATCTTTTGCAATGCTGGTAATATCCGAAGCAGGAGTAAAAAACTGTACGTAATTCTCAAGATCGAAAAACAGTAATCTATATCCCCAATTAGCCCTCTATCTTTCATCCAACATCGTTGCACATACCCTATTATCAACCTCCACCCTGCAAACCGGACAAAGCACCACCTTCCCCCCGCGTCTCGGAGCCCCAAGCTGCCTCTCCTTCGCCCCCAACGCATCCGCACACCATCTACACAACACCAAATGTTTACACGGCAGCAACACCGTATCCGCCAATTGCCCAAAACAAACCTTACACTCACACTCCACCTTCAACTCCTCATCCTCAAGCGGTTCGGGGCGTCCCTTCTGCTGATCTAGCCCTGGAGGGGGTGGGGGGGCAGGGGGAGCGGGAGGTCGGAGCCATGGGTTACTATATGCCAGGCTGAAACTGCTGACATCGGCATCGCGCTCATCTGAGAGTGTGGTGCGGCGACGGACTGCGTGCATAGTAGCAGCGGTAGCGGCTGTGGTGGTGGACGGGGTTGGAACTGAGGGCCCGGCAGAGGGCGCAGGTGAGTCTCCACGCACAAGCCTCAGCCTTCTCAGCCTTGCAAGGGCGTCAGGAGTATCCAACCCTCTAGAATCTCCAAGATTTAATTCTGAGATAGGAGTGCCAACATTCATTATCCGATCAAAATATTCATCGTCATCAATTCTTACTGATCTTAACGCTGCTTCATTCTCGGCTTGCTCTGAAAGGCGGGTTGATTCTCGAGACGACCTTTCTCGCTGTATGGATAGTCTATCTCTATCTTCTGGTCTTGCGCGCGTTTCTTGCTGGGTTGCTTGAGAAGTCGATGGTCCAGCCACACCTCCTGGCCCACCGGTCCTGTTTCCGATTCGCGCTTGGAATTGTTCTAACCTCGCCCGCCGCTCTTGAGGATCCATTGATAAGTTGCCGCCTTCTAGCAAGGTTATGGCAGCATATAATCGCTCGGCACGGCTGTGTTCTAAGGTGGATTCCATGGGGTCGTGGGTGTCATTGCGCTCCTCTCGGCGCCCCATAAGGTTGGAGAGAATGGACATGTACGCTATTGCAGAGGTGGAGTTGATGAAATCCCCGGTCGGGCGTGCTGGGTTCGAGGCGGTGGTGGGGTTGTTAGTTGCAGCGGCGGATGAGGTGGCGAAGGGGATCCAGGGGTTGTTGTTGGGTGGGAGCTGGTTGGAAGCTATCATGCGGTCCATTCTATCGAGTCTGTTGGATCATTAGAGAGCACTCGATTGGGGAGATCTTGTTCATATCACTCGGAGTATTACTCCTTTCTGTGTTTTTTCCGGATGTGGTTTTTTTCGGAATGGGAAGAAAAAAGGGGGACTTACACATCTTCTGTTCTTCTCCAGCTCTCAAATAGAGTACTTGGATCACGGGGTACCTCAGGGGGGTTCTCCCTTGGAGAAAGCTGTCCAGACCTTAACTCGCGCTCTGCTTCATGCCGAATAGTAGAGTGAGGGATCCGTTCCCTTGGAGAAAGCGGTGGAGACCTTAGCTCTCGCTCAGCTTCGGCGGAGACTGGGGCTGCGGAGGGGGAAACCGTTTCTTCCATCCCATGAGATCGGAACGGCCCATCATAAAACCTCTCTAATCCCCCAGCAACTCCACTGGTAGAGCTAGTTCTACGGCCACGCCAAGGAGTTCCTGGGGTTCTGAGGGTACGCTCACGAGCTCGGCTGGGTTCGCGGACTATTAAAGGTGGTGGTGCGGGTTGCATATGATGGCGGGTGGAAGCGGGTCTTTCTTGTGCTCTTTCAACCCTTTCGGCCAACCTCTCAGCACGCTCTGCGCGCTCTGCTCGTTCCCTCTCCGTCCTAACAAGGTCCGCCCAAGTCCCCTCTGTCCTCCTCTCGCGCTCCCGGTTATCCCCAACCCCAGCCTGCGAAATTGTATCCATAAACTCTCCCAACCCCGCCACCCCCACCAATTCCCTCTCCGTCTGCTCCCCATCCCTTCTTTCATACCCCGCCAAATATTCCCGCAACCTGTTACTCGCTATATCCTGCATCTGCCCCGACCTGCTGCGACCTTCATCCACCCTCTGCTCGACCGTCGTAGCCACAGCCCCCTCGGCAGTATGTTGACTCAACCTAACCCCACCACCGACTCTAACCTGCGGCCCTGGGCGATTCATGGACGCTGGTGTACGCTCCGGCCTAGGATCCCTAACTCTAGCCCTAGATTCCACCCGACTCTCCGGCCGCCGGTGTGAAGAATCCCGTATCTCCACCCTCTCTTGTGGCGCTCTATCCCTCCGCCCCTCCTCAAGTTGTTCCATTAGCAACCTTTGCTGAAGTTGGTTGATACTACGCTCCAACGATTCGCTGTTTTGTTGCAAACGTTCAGCATTCTCCCGGATGGATCTTGGCTCGGGTGATGGAGCTGACGCTCTCATAACCACCCGAGGATTCTGCGGGGTAGGAGGAGCTGGAGTTGCGCGGGTGATGACGGGAGGTATAGGAGCTGTTGTAGTCCTAAGATCAGGACGCCGCCGGTTGGGCATGGTTACGTAGGCTGATCGGGAAAATGGGTTGAGGGGTCGGGTTTCGGATTCTGTATTTGAAGGGTAACGAATTTCGCTATTACGGGAGAGAGTGCGGAGACTTGGGGTTGCAGCTTCGCTGCGAGATGACGAAGGGGGGTCGAGGTATGCCGCCGTCAGCGCCCTCTCTCGGGTTCTCGGGATATCTCTCGGGATGCCTGTCGAGATATCTCTCGAGGAAAGCGAACCTAGGGAACTCAGAGTAGTCCTAGCATGAGGTACTGATTCTGCCGCAATATGCCGTGGTGTCTGTGATAGTACAGTGCTCTGTTCTCCTTCTGTATCACTATCCCCCGCTTCGTCTCTCGATACTGCATCTCTTAGCTGTGTCCACTGCGGCCCAGATCTTTCAGATCTTTCGGCGCTCAGACTAGGTTCAACTCTATTCAACCCATTACTAGTAGCCGCAAGTTGCTCCCAAATCGATTGTGTAGTAGCGCTGCTAATACTGCTAACACCAGGCGACGAAGGCCGCCGGGAGTGAAGCCGTCGGATTGTGGAGGGTGCAGAAGGCACTGAGGCTTCGCTACGGCGGCGGACGTGTGAGCGGGGTGTATCCATGGAGTGACCTAGGGGGGTACTAGTGGTACTCGGGTGGGACTCGGATTGGAGCTTGCGAAAGCTGCGAAAGCTGGTAAGAGCTGGTAGTCGTATCGAGGGGAAGAAAGCGTCTCTAGGCAGTCGGGTCGTCAGTGGATTCAGACGGCGTAGAAGGTAAGTGCGGGTGACTAGGCGGGGGTAAGGCGGGGGTAAGGCGGGGGGTAAAAGCGGTGTAGAAGGCCGGTACTATTTCCCACGCGGTCGGCGGTATCGGCGGCGTCGCGGAGGAGGTTGAGCGCCGCAGTGAACTATCACTATGGAGCTATGCAGCTATAGAGCTAAGAGTAAGCGGCTGCGGGGTCGTCACCTCTCAGTCCCAGGGTCGCAGAACCCTCAAAATATCCTGGGTGAGGGGGGAGAATATATAGGTGTGACGTTGCGGCTTCGCGGCAGAGGGTAAGTCAGGTGGTCGCGGCGGAAGTCGCTTGAGTAGAGGTAGCTCAGGTAGGTATTGACGGAAGACTTGCTTATCGGCTTCGAATAAAACTAAGGGTGACGAATGGCGGATGTCTTAATGAATGACATGTAGCGTGGATAACTGGAGTAGTATGTTTTTTTCTAGGTGGTGGAGGAGGAATAAACGTCAGCATGGGTAGAAGAACATATCGCGATGCTGTTGCTGGGGAGGTTGAAGAAGAGTAAAGTGAAAGTAGAAGTGGAGGTTGGAACGGGTAGTTGCAGCTTAGATGCAGCCACCGATTTTTGAAATTTGTAGGGAGAATCTAACACTTATGCGCATGAAAAACGGACGCGGGTATGTACTGAGAAATCGAGAAAAAATTAGGTGGAAAAAGTGGTGGATTAATGACGTATCTCCGCTTTTGCGGCGGCGTTATGCCGGCGATTATCGATCGTGAGGTTTCCCACGAGGCTCGGAGCTGGTCGCAGTGGCGGTGTAACCCAATGGTAGTGGGGCTTTCGGACCGTTTAGTGGAGGTCAAGCAGTTTTG